AGGCTGAAACGAGGTAGGGCCTGCAGGCCCTCGTTTTTCAGCATCCAGGCTGAAATGAACGGGGCCTGTAAGCCCTAAGTTTTAGGCTTTTAGGCTGAATGTCCGGGACGGGCCCTGTAGGCCCGTGTGGCTACGCAGTATGCCACAGAATGAGAGAGAGAATTTGGGGTGCTTTTTTAGACACACACACACACACATACACAACCCATGTCAAGTGTGTTGCATTGCTTGTATAAAGGTGAGATTCCTTGCTTGTATAACGGTAATATTCCGGTGGTTCTGGATAGATACTGAATTTACAAGCAAAACTGTCTCATTGGTGGATAGGCTCATTTTAAGCATGCTTCATTGTCTGCAATAGAGGCAAACCGTGCAGCAAGGTAGGGCTGTGGAGTATCATGTGAAATTGCAAATGGCAAGTGTAAGGCAGAGAAACGCGATAATCACTATGACATCCTCAGCAGCGTATAAAACGATAATAATTTGTACATTACAATGCCTGTCTCAATATCGTGCAAGGTGTTCGTTGGTGGGTGAACGCTTGCGACATCTTGACACTTTTGGAGATTGCAAGGGAGATTTGGACATCAGGAGACACTTTGTTTGAAGACCTCTGAGAATATGAACGAGACCTTTCCCAGCACAGCGGTGACTTCAACTAGTTTAGACTAGTCAGCTACTTCTGATGTAGCACCAAATACAGCTATAATGACTGGGTGTTCTATTCAGGTGAGGAGGGTAGTACATCATTAGTAACCTAGATTAATGCAGCAGCACATTTTGAGCCGTACTTAGTATCTAGTATCCAGTGGTGTTAGGTGAGTTTATTAACCTGCTTCTGTGCAAGTAACAAATCCCGGTTAACTATATATTGACTCCAGTATGCCAATTTCCTTTTCCAGCTCTCGTGCCGTTTTTTAGCACTGGGTTGGTATTGTGACGATTGTAATGACCCGCCGTAACACAGACTGAGAACACTGCTGATTTCTGGAGTTCTGCCAATGCAATGGATGCCTTGCTGAGATTCCCGCATTCTGCTGAGTTTTCTAAGCCTGTGTGTGTGCGTGCTTGTGACCTGCGTGCCTGTCTGAGTGCTTGTCGGTATGAGAGTGTGTGTGACCCACAAGGGTACTTGCTTGTTTGGCAGGCCCGTAGGGCCGGTACTTACCTGTGGCCGTGGCATTGACGGTTGAAGCAGGGAAAACACTCAAGTAGCGGAGCCAGGGGCCCGCGGTGCTTAGAGCAGCGGAAAAACACTCAAGTAGCAGGTAGGCTGGTACTGCACCCAGTAGCAGTAGATGTGCCGGGTACTCGAGACCGAGCAGAAGAAGACCAAGTTGGCATTTTTAGAGGCCCAGTAGTGGTCACGCTGCTGGAGCGCTGGCTGGAGTAGCGCTGGGTACTACAGCGCTGCTGGGAGGAAGAAGCCGGGAGCTTCCACCTTGGCTATGGTGGAGCTCTACCGGTAGGAGGGAGAAGAGGACCAAGGAGGAGAGTGGCGAGGTACCTACCATCTTCATCACCTTGTTAGGCGCTGCATCTGGAAGGCCCCAGTTGGGGTAGTGCCGCATCAAGGAAGCTCGGGACAGAGTCAGGCATGGCGGTTGAGTGGGCAGTGGCATAGCTGCCTGGTGTTGACCTTGGGACAGAAGAGCAGCGACATAGCTGCTTTGGGTTGTCCTTTGGACAGGAGGGTAGAGCCCTGAGTGCTCCGCCATAACCTCGGCCTGCATGTAGAGGAAGAGGAAGGGTGGCCATGGCTATGGTGGACCTCATGTTGTGCCTGCAGTAGAAGTGGGATTCGGACATTGATTTTGGTTCAGCCATTCAACATTATTATTGTTATTTCTTGTTTGAATAAGAGGGGAGGAGATAAGGAGGAGGAGATTGGTTGGCGAAGAAGAAGAGCATTGTCATTGGTCAATGCTGGAGTACATCATCTTCTTCCTCTTTCTTACTTCTTCTTCTTCTTCTTCTTCTTCTTCTTCTTCTTCTTCTTCTTCTTCTTCTTCTTCTTCTTCTTCTTCTTCTTTCCCTCTCTCTCCTCTCAAGTTCATTCATTTCTTTTTGCAATTGGACGGCATTGTACTTTCTGATGTATGTATACTGTGAAATTGGCCAGGATCGTAACACCATCAATCAAATTGAAGGTGATCCCTCCTCAGAGATCAACTGCAGCAATGTCATGAGAATCTTTCATGAGGGAAGCTCTGTGACGGATATGATGACCTTTTCCTTCTGGCAATGCAGGATGGACTCTTCACTGGAAGGCAACATCGTTCGCAGCTAGTAGCTGATCGTGATCTCACCTACAGCTAGAAGCTGTTGGTGTTGCTGTTTCAACCGCTTCGCTGTAGCTGGCCTTTACAGCTCCATTGCCACTGACACCTCAAGGTACACAGTGTCCGCCACACCACAATACTGAAGCGGGTACAACATCTTGTAAAATTTTGAGACATATTCCGATGGTTCAGAGCTGTGGATATTGGGGGTTCGAGATTCTTGTCAAAAGTACCTTTTGCAACATCCTTAAGCATTTATTGGTGGCACGTCAAGCAACATGGGAGAAGAAAAAGAATAGTATATGCTTTATGTCTTGCTCATCCATGCATCCTCAACAGAATGCCTCCCCATATACCAGCATCGAGGATTCAAGCTTAACCAATTCACATTCCAAGTTGAAGGACAGATGGATCAGTCAACCCACTTACCTAGGTTCTGAGCATGTAATTCGGAATCTTCTGCAGCAGCTTGGGTCTCCAAACGCCTCACATCCACAGATGCTCCCTTATCAATTCTGCTCTCCACAGAGTCAAGGAACTGCATCCTTTTTTCTCGATCTTTGCGCTTTTTCTCTTTCCTCCTTTTTTTCTTCTCTCTGTTCCTTGCTTTCCTTTTCTCTGCATCCTGCAAAGATTCCTTCCTTTCCTGTGTTTCGTGCTCCTGGTCACCCAGCCCACCTGTCCTGCCGCCCTCCTCAGAAGCCCGCACCGTCCTTTCCCCTTGCCCACCCTCTCCGTCAGCTGATGTTGCTTTCCCAAACCCTTTTGGTTCCATCTTTTTCTCATGCCCTCCATCTACACTTGCCTCTGATTCTCCTTCTGAAGAACTACTAAATGATGATGAGCTGGAAGAAGAACTTGATGAACAAGAAGCCACTGTGCCCACAGATGCAGGCATAGCACTCTCTTTCCTTTCGCGACTGACATTATCCCTGTCGCCTCCTCTCTCTTGCTGATAAATTCTACCATCATTGCGGCTTCTTCCTGTTCTGATGTGCTCACCCCCTTCTAACGTGATTTCTCCCAATTTATAATCAGGTTGTTCATCTCGCCGACCCTCTTTGTGATCCTCAATTTTGCTTTCCCGGTCCTCCAGTGCTTTTGAGTCGTATCCATCATCATTTTCACCTCCCGACTCACTTCTCCTTTCCCTTGCCTTCTTTTTCAGCTCCCTCGCATTAACACTGCTTCCTTCCTTTGAGCCACTAATATCTTCTGATACACTGAGCGACGGGTTGCTCCCAAACCTCCCTACACTCTCGGAGGAAGTTGCATGGCGATGGTAGCCATTACCGGTAGCCTCAGAGGGCCCTGAATGCTTATCCTTAGGACCTACATCCATCACTGGTCTTTGATCAGCAAGACGAGCAGCACCATCATCCCAACCACTCATGAGTTGCAGTTGTTGGTCAGCAGGTGGGGATGGACTTGGCTGATGTGCCACAGGGGCAGCTGAGGCAACTTCCTGTGGAGATGGAACGAAAACATCATCTTTGCTTGTGTACCCTTGTTCAGCCCAAGAATCCCTATCTTTAGATGGCGACTGTGTGGATGGCAAGGCATCTGGGAAACCAACTATTCTTGTCAAGGCTGGAATCGACAAGGAACGTCCATAGCCAGATTCAGTTTGAGCCGGTGCCGATTGCTCAGTCTCACCTGGAAAGCCTCCGGATTCTCCCTTAGTACCGGAGAAAGAAGATAGCAGAGCCTGGGCCATCTGAGTTGGTGACTGGGAAAAGTGAGCTGAAGATTGACGGAGAGGAGATTGAGAACGATTAAATGAAGACGAGGATGCAAGAGAGGGGGAGGTAGGTCGCAATGATGGAGATGCGGGACGCAGAACTGGAGAATCACTTCGCTGCTTCGGGGAGTTAACAAGAACATGTTCTCCAAATGTTCGGGGGCCAGAAGAACTCGACATGGGACCCACTCCCACTGGCTGCACAGGCCGGCCGTAGGTCACATCAGTTGGCCATGCTATTATGTCAACGGTATCGGGGACGCTCATTGTGCTGCGTTGCAGTAGCTCATTAGCCATGTCTAAGGAAGACCTTTGTTGATCACCACGCGGATCCATGCTGAAACCACCCACCAGCGGTGGCGCTTGAAGAGACACTGGCTGTAGTATTCCATGCTGATCTGATGCTGAACCTTTGCTGTCCTGCTTTCTCATACCCCTCCACTGCCAGAAAGATGCCATTGGCGCTTACAAAGCTTCAAAGTCCAATATAAAAAAAACAGGAAGCTGCAAGAAGAAGAGAGAGCTGAGAATGATGATGATAATTACAGCAGCAGTCGCGTTGGTGATGACGGCAACGATGACAAGGTGATAATGCTGACGGTCATCTCCAGGTTAATCGAGACAGCGACATGAGGAAGAGAGGTATGACAACACAGTGCAAGTTACAATACATCAAAGCAGAAGCAGCTATGTGCTAGAGATTCCACTTTTCCGACAGCTTTACCACTTTGCTTGCCTGCCATGAGGACTTATGAAAGTCTACCAATCTTTCCTCAACGAACCAAAACCCCCCTCCCAGAGTGTTTTGATGTCACTTCCCTCAGAAATATGGGTCCTCCCTCCGTAGCAGGGCAGCCACTGAGGATGCTGTCGACAGGTCGTCATTCCATGGAAATAAAAACCTGGTTACAACAGGCGCAGCACGTGAAACATTAGCCGAAGATGTGAGGAAATCAGAACCATATAAATCTGTTTTAAATCCCTTTTTCTCATCATAGCCCCTAACATTACAGCATCTACATAGGTTGCCAGAGTCGCTCGGGACCACTTCCCTGCCAGCTCAAAAAGGAATAAAATTTTCAGAAAACATTTACATTTTTATTTTATTTTATTTGAAACTATTTCGCAATTATTCTCCAGTTTATTTTCCTGCAAAACATAGTTCCGCCCCTTCTATTCTGGGGAGCCTCAGTCCGGTTGCTCATCACCGGCAAGGACAACTGAAGAAAGGGGGGAGAAACAGACTGGACAAAGGGTCAGCCCATCCCTTGTGCCACTAGTCACCTACCAAGGGGGCGACTGCTTCGAGGCGGCCCTTCCCCCAAAACCGTGACCTTTCAGAGGGTTGCCCTGCTGGCCAGGGGGCTTACTGTTGTTGTTGTTGTTTTCCATTTTGCAGGGACCTTTCCCTGGCCCATGCCCAGCCATGCAGCCAAGGCAACGTAGGTGACCTGGGAGGCCCGATTAGTAAGGCAGGTATCTACCTTATTCCATCAGGATTCAAACTCCTGCACAGTGCATGAACAATCGCACTTGTGCACATAAAGCCTCTGTCTATTTACTTTGTGTGCATGCCAGGTCCAATTGGAGACAGATCCAGGAACACAACACCTTGAAATCAGAGAAAATGCTGCTTCTCTAATGCAACCGAGTCTTTTTTTTTTTTTTTTTTTTTTTTTTTTTTTTTTAAACAGGCCTTATGGTCCTGGCTCCTTCTATTCTGGGGAGCGTCAGTCCGGTTCCTATTCCACCGGCAAGCCCAATTAAACA